TATAATTTATATGACAAAATAAGAAACCCATCTATTCATTGTTTATCTCAATAAAAGAGTAATAACTACACGTAGTGTAGTGGACCAACTTGTTTAGATAAACAAGTCCACAAATAGCACCTAAACATTGTTTAGATGAATGAATCCAAACATTGCACTTATATATTGTTTAGATAAACACATCCACATTTCTGGATTTCATTCTGTTTTCTGGTAACTAGTAGTTAGCGAATGAACATTCTCAAGTAGGTAGTAACACTTACAAGATTTCCAGAACGCACTGGAAATGAGGAACTCAGGGAAGCAGAGGAGATTGCTTCGTCTTTAAACTTATGGTGTCAGCACCAGTACCACCTTTGTTCATTCCATCTCTTAGAATTCAGATTGGTACCATTTGCAAATCCACTCATTTATGTATGGTATCATCCAAGACAAGGCTACAGGCACACAGCTGCGGGGATAAGAAGAAAAACAAGACGCTTGAATTCAGTTTATAAATCACATATAGCAAATTTCTTCCTTTAGAGGCTGTATGAAACCCAAAATCATCTGATAGAACCTGTTTCCATGTCTTCCTTTCTGTTTCTGTAAGTCAGAAGATTGCAATGCTAAGACCATTTAAATACATTCCGAATATATGATCTTCACATTTGCATGCATATCACTCAAAGAGTTAAATTAAAAAGATGAAAGAAAACCAAAAGTAATTCAGAAATCAAGATGTTCATTTGATGGATATCTTGTTGGTGAGCAAGAAAACTATGGCTCTCTTTTCCTCTCCGAGACACAAAATAAAGAGTTAAACGAACTTCATACAAGTAGATTTAAGGGCGCAGAAAATTTCTTCCCCAAACAAATTATTTGCACAACAGAAATACTAGTATATGGCAAGCAAAGAATGCATTTGAAAAAGCATTAGCGGCTACAATAATTAACTCGTTGTTTTGACAAACATTTGTTGTTCCTCAAACATTCTTCTTCATCTCCACATCCAAATAGACTACAAAGCTGGAATGAGACAATTAGTATATCTAAATATCTAACTACGTAAGGCAATTGCATTTTAACAAACATAAATCGACTCATTTCTCAGCAGTCAGAACTCACTCAGAGACTGTTGCAATGCTTGAGAAGTTGACAGCAAAAAAAAAAAAAAAAAAAAAAAAAAACAGATCAAACAAAACTCATTTAAGAGGAAAAGGAACCGTCATATCTCATACCAAAGGGTACAGAAGCCATTCAGGTCACATTTATTTAACAGGATTATCAACATTGAATTTGCATGCAATGCAACTTCATCTATTTTATCCTCAGTTGAGAAAAAGACTATATATACTTGCTAAGATAGAAATCGAGCAACAAGCTCGTTACATGTAGAATGTTCAGACTGTTGGTTTCTGCTGAAATGCAGTGCCAGGATCATCACTGGAAGGGAAAACCTGAAGGCCAGTAACCATGGCATCAGGAGGACCACGGCGGCATCTCTGCTCCATCTCTTGTACAACATCAGGACTACCAGAGAAAAGAGCTTCCACGCTACCATCCCTTTTGTTCCTGACCCAACCCTTCAACCCTAGCTGGGTAGCATTCTCCACTGTCCAGTTCCTATAGAAAACACCCTGAACCCTCCCCTTTATCACAAGCCGAACCTGCAGCTCCACAATGCATGAACCCATTATTCCTTGCGACAAATTAATACAAATAGACTAATTACCAGCACTAAATTGAATTATCCAAAGGAACAACCAAAACCGATTATCAGAATATAGAGACGTCTCAGTCCAAACCCTAATCTAAACATAAGCCCTATGCATTTGATTGAAAAGGGAAAAATCAAAATTGAGGTAATTTACTATAGAAACAAACAAAACACTCTTATCGTACACAATTGATAAACCTACAAAGTCACAAGCAATCAAGATCAAAACTTTAAACTCGAAAAACAAACCCCATCAGTAAATATTCACAAAATGAAAAGCAAGGAGAGATGGGCACACACCGTTTTGGTTTGGGAAGCCTGAGATGAGTCACCGGCAGCTTGAGGAGTCGTCATCGAGGACAGGGAAGGAAAGAGAAGAGGAGATGGACGAGATTGGAGCAGAGAATGAAGAGGAAGAGGAGGAAGAAGAAGACGAGGGCGAAGCGAAAGAGAAGAACGAAGAGGAGAAGGGTGAGAAGGAAGCCGAACGGAGAATCTACGAACACGAGAAGTACATTCATGGTTGGGCCATTGATCTAACAAGTTCTTCTTACTCAGTGATAGCAGAAATCTGGTGCCTCTCGGATGGCTGATTAATGGCCTTAGAGTTGAAGGTGGCATTGCTGACCCCATTGATCCTGTTGATTTTGAAAGCGATGCTTTTAGAGCTGCTGGACGCCTGGAGGGCATTGTGAAAATTAAGAAATAATGATTGAGTCATGATTGTGATATTTTTTT